TTTTGAGCACGGCATGGATAGGTGGAGTGCAAATGCCGATTTCTTTATACCCCAGCGTTGTGATTGGATACCAAAAAATGACTAAAAATCCTGTGCTTCACTCACAGCGCAATACCTTAAAGTACCTTGTTGTATGTTCATCTATGTGTTTTGCATATTTGCATAGCAGAGTTCAAAGATCATTTGTGTGGCCATTTTGGTGTGTCATGATTAAAATGAACATTTTAGCCATCGAAATGCTGTAAAAGTCTTTAGAAAAATCTGCTTCTGTGGCTTTGTTCTCTGTATCAGAGCTATGACTGGCCATTCCAGCTATGCTGGGGCCCATCTGCTCTCTATTTAGAAATCTCCAGCAAGCATAGCCATCTCTAGCTGACAAGAGTCCGAATCAGTGAACTGATTACACTGAGAGAGGTCAGACTGTGAGAGACCATTCACTGCAGTGTGGCAATGTGTAACCCTTTCCTGTCAGTTCTTTCCCTGCAATCAGTTTCCTGCCACAGAGAGCTCAGTAGAGCTTTGCATCATAAAGCACCCTGCAGAGCATAGCAACGTAACCCTTCCCTTGCCGAGCTCTGAACATTGCAGTTATGTACCTATGGTAACACAATACCTTGTCAGCAACACCCCTCCCCTGTCAAATGATGTCACTGTCAGCTCTGGGGAGAATGTGACCTTGTCACCTTCTAGCCAGAGACAGCTTGGAATAAAAGCTTCCTGCACACATAATGTGTCTATAGATGTACAGCATCTGAGAAAGAAAAAAATCTAGAGCTGAGCAGATATTGGAAAGGAAAATCAATCCTCTTAAATTCTCCACACACCTGGTATATTCATGTCTTTGTGCGATGGTTCCTACAGTAAAACCAAGATGGATTACAGCAAGTGAGTCTTGTGTGCAGTACAAAGGCAAACTCCGAAATGTATGGAAGTGACCACTGTGCCTGCTCAGTGCATTTAAGCTCTTACTGCTCACGCAAAGCCTTGTACTGTAGAAAGGTAGCTGAAAAGCTTTCATTGAGGGGAACAGTTTTTTAATGAGTTCTCTCTTAAATATAAGCAACCTTTAGTATTTCTGTGTTCTCTGTACACTGAAGATATTGATTAACCCGTGACTTTCTGGCATAGTTGTCATTCACTGGCACAGTTGACATACACTGCAAAGCAAGCATCAATAAACAGATGACACCTGGTCTTTGTTGGACTCTTTTTGGTAATGACCAATATGCAACCTTGTAAACCATATTCATATGTACTGCAATTGGGCACAGGATTGGTGGAAATTCAAGTTCATAGTTCAAGATATGTGAAGGAAATAGGAATTGGTCAGTGTCAGGTGGCATACTTCGGATCTCTACGAAGTGCCTGGGTTGGACTGGAGGAGGAGGCGGCAGCTGTGTTTTTCAATTATTTAGTTGAATAGGAATGTTTCACAAATAATTCCTGATGTCTGCTAAGAGTTGCCTTTACAGAAAGTCTTTGCCCATGTTGCTTTTTAGTGGTGCTCCGTGACATCTTGCCAAATATTCTGCTAATTGATTCTTCACTTTTCGACAAGAGTTTTACCTGAATATCTTAAACTTTGTTTTTTCCCCAGTAAGAATCGACCATAGCAGTCTATGGGTTAATGGTGAGCACTCCCTGTTCGGATGTCACCGTGTCCCCACTGCTGCATGACCCACTTCCACATTCGGTATCCAGGCAACATGCTCCTGCTCCCTCTGCCCTACCTCATGTAACGCCCGGTACAGCGGCATCCTGTTAGAACAGAGAGTGGCACTGAGTATCTGTACAGAAAATGCACACGCTGAGCTGTATAATGATGCTGAGTATCTGCACACCCCCTCTCTGTTTGTAGCTGTGTATTTTATCTGCCTGTCTGACAGATCCCGATCCAGCGGGGAGCAGCTAATCTGTGCACACAGGAGGAAGCAGATAAATAAAGGATGAGAGAGACAGAGGAGACAGGACAGACAGGAGAAAGGGAGGGAAGGAAGGAGTTAGTGTGCAGGCCTTTGTAGTGGGAAAAGAAGCAAAGAGAGACATCTGGTGGGAAGAATAGATTTTCCTCTGCACTTTTTCAACATGGAGGGATGTGATCTTTCATCACTAGCACAACGATTTTAATAAACATTAGTGTGCATGGTCACTCTCGATCTATAATATATGGGAACCTGCATCTCAACTTTCTCTCAGTGACTTATCTAAAGACTGCAGTGCACAAATCCCTAAGGAACGAAGAAGAATCTGCTACCTGCATCTGTCTTACTATTCCAATGTTGTTTTTAGAAAATTTTTGAAAGATTGAAATAGTCTAGCAACTTCAGAAGGTCAACATGCGCTCATATGCCAATAATCGGCAGGTACTTCTGTGCAAACTTTCCTATGCAGGTGAAGAAACATACCTAACTTTGTCTAGTGTGCATATTAGCAAAACCTCTCTGCCCTGCTTTGGAAGAGGTGTTCTGTATAGCTGGCCATGACAGCTAATCCAATTGTAACTGCCATCATTCTAGAGACATTTCCCAACTGAATTATATAGTGGCAGTATGTTCCTCAGGGCTTTACTATTTGGGGAATTCGCAACAAAAGAGCACTGAAACAAAAGGTGTACCTCATGAGCTTGCAGTCTAAGGGACATTTTGGGAAAAAAAAACATGGAGAACAACCATATATTTTAAATGAAGGGAAATATAAGCATTTGTTTTATGCACAATGGCAATGTATGTTTTAATCTGATGGTACAGTCTGTATACCATGCCCCTTAGATTTACTAAAATTATGTAATATGAGGGCTTAACAAAACAACCCACTCAATTTATGTCAAATCATGTAGGCCCTTGCACTGCATATTTATTGGTATATATCGAAAACATTGTACAATCAATCAAATTGTAAGGTGTGCTCAGTTGTAGGCCTGTATATATTCTCCAGTTTATATACTCTTCTCCTTTGGTGTATACCCCATTACACTACTAGGTACACAGAGCTTACTCTGCTATCCTATTTGGTGGTCTAATTTTAGGTACAAGAACTATTATTAGTCAAGAGGTTAAGTATCACACTAGAAAATGATTTCCTTGTATTGACACACACACAGATTTCTGACATCTTTCCTTTTTCTGTACTTCTATGTGGGAGCTGGATTCGATGGCAGTGAACACAGTGTTACGGCCTTTGTAAATTGGAGGTTGTCTGTGCTCAGCACCTAAAGGGTTACACTGTCACATGCTGCTTTCAGGCAGGAAAGAGGATGGTCAGAATGCCAAGGTCTGCAGGGCTTTCTGGCTGGAAAGGGAATGCTTTGCCAGGATGTGGTTCCCTGGCTGAGTGCTTTCTGCCTCAAAGCATTCTGGGAGGAGGGCAGCTATAATTAGTCCTGTGCCTGGAATCCAATGCCTGCTCCCTCCTCTCATCACTGCACCATCTGTCTGCCCTCTACCCTCCCCCACACATACACTCAGCTGTGACACGAGCAAACTTCCTGATGTCTGACTATATAGGTATATGCTTCGGAACCAATTTCTACATATACACCCACAATGAACAAACGATTGGCCATATTAAATGTACCTGTGCTGCAGTGGCACTGAATAGCGTCTGTTTCACTGTGTGCTCACTGTACCTGTGAATGGTTGCTTACAGTCATTACTTCCCTTAATAATTCTTTGTTTGACACAATTTAAGCTTGCTTCCTATTATCTTGCCTCATTTGTACCAATCTGGAAGCAGTTGTTTCACTGGGAAATACTGTTTTTAACGTAATAAAGCTGTTGCTTACTGAGTTTCTTCATTTACATCATATCTTTCGTATTATCCTATCCCTAGCAGAATATTCTTCTCATTTATTTGTTCTTTACCAACTTGACTTCTCAGATCAATAGAACCTTGTTTCAGGTTTTAGAAAACATGGGAACCATAATTCTACAGCATGTCACTCTTAGGTTATCCATTTAATTCACTCGATTCTCCCTGAAGAAAATAGATCCTCTTTACAATGATCCATAGTGTCCAGTGTTTTTCTTGAGTGATATGTCTGTGGTTAATTGGTGATTGTGCTTTTATGAGCACCCATAAAATTGTATGATATTCTCGGTGTCATACTTGCATCAGTGTGTTCACTCTGCATATGCTGAAGGTCAGCGTTGACATATGAAATATTTTAATTATTTAGGAACACTTCACGGTAATCCATGTGATCACAATTGTGCAACTGATATATACACAAGCATACACATACTTGGATGCACTTTGGCTTCAAAACCTAAACTGATAAATCATTGTCAGCTTTAATACTTGTATATGCATGGGCAGGTGCAGAGAGGCCAGTACTGACTTATGTCCTTGGCTTCAGTGCGCTCATGCACAAACAAGTAACCCATGAGCACAGGCACACAAACTGCACAGGAAGAAGAGTAGGTGCACCATGCCAGTAGTCAGGAGAAGTGCTAATCAGCAAAACAGTGTGAAATACATTTACTCTGGTGTTGGGGGATATTATGAAAAAAATGGTTTGGATGAATGACTGAGAAACCAAAAAGCATGTAGGTTGAGGTGAGTTAGAGAGATGTGAATGCAGAGAGAAGACATAAAGCCTTAAGGAAAGGCGTGAGGAGATCATGGGATTAAGTTCGAGAGGAGGGGGAGGGCATTACAGCCCCGAGGTGAGGACTTGTGTCAGTGTATGTAGGAGAGAGACACATTATACATACGCTGCTCCACTGGATACTGAGATATAGATAACAGGAAAGAGAGACAACAGGGGACACCGTAGTGGAAAAAGGGGGAGAAACTGAAAAAAAATGAAAAGCTACAAGGGAAGAATTGGGTCATAAGGGTACTAACAAGGCCAAGACATGAACGCATGGTAAAGACAAGTTCTTTGTGAAGTATAACTGTCATATTTGAAGATATTTAAGAAAATACCTATTTTGTGTAACAAAGTGATTTTTAAATTATGGACAAATTCAGATATCTGAATGTTTTTATTTATTTTGGCAGATGTCAATTCTACTGATGTTGCTCCGCCTAGCCTGGAAAATGGAGATACTCCTGCTGAGAAGCGTACTTCCCATTCAAAGGAGATAGAGAGAGGCCGCAGAGTGACCCAGGCATGCAGACACCCACGTTCAAGGTGAGACTATTAGAGCTGTAAAAATTATTAGAAATGTAGAGTCCACAAGCCAGCTAGTGCAATTCAAAAGCCAATATACTTTTTTTTTTTTTTTTTAAGTGAACCTGTGGTTATCCCTGCAGAACAAATTGACAGGTTCACTTAAATGACTGATTCCCTCTCCACTCTTCCTTTTATATCATTATATAGTCCTCTTCCACCCCCGCATCCATTTAGCCACCTGGAAGGAGATGAAGTACCAGGTACCCAAATGTAGGAAACCTGTTTCTCTCTCTCTCTTCTCAAAATGCAATGAGCACCTAAATGGCCAATTGCCAGGCCCCAGTGCTGTCACTCTGTAGTGGGGAGAGAGCCCCCTGTAAGTTCCAACTTGTGACTTTGAGAATACACAAGAGTTCTTTTCCTTTGCTCTTTGAAGAGAAAGCAAGTATAAGTACCTGTGAAGGGGAGGTGTAGGGAGCATTTAGGTGAACCTGTTGCTTAGCCCTTTGTAGACAAAGCACTGGTTCGCTATAAGGAACCAGGGTTATGTTTTTCCTGTAACATGAAAAGGCTTACAAGTGAAGCCCCAACTAAATTATTTTTTTATAGGACCTTTTGTCTGGAAAATACTCTTATGTACTCTGTACATAAGAGACGCTTTCCATGGTTATCTGTATATATTTGAAAAATTCACCTGCTCCTGTAAATAACTCTGTATTCTATTTTCTAAAGAGATACTTTTATCATTTTCCACATAGGCCTGAAATCTGTAAAGGGCACCTGCAAATTCTTCCTTTTATTCTCTGGACTTTAATAATGTAGGTCCTTTATAAATTACAGGTTTGGTTCTTATACCTGGACTTTAACTAGGTTAGCTCTGGTTTAAATGAATGTCTGTTGTATGATATTGCATTCATATCTAAGCTCCCGAAGAACAACCAGAGGCTGACGTGCAGTTCTGACATTTCACCTGCTATAGATGGCCTTTCCTAATTCTACCAATCATTACTTCTAAGCCCCATCCCTTTTTCAATAACTGAATTTAAAGGGAATATCATTAGATAAAAAACACTACTGCCACGTCAAGCCTTTTCCATCAATACGTTAGACCACTAGTCTGGAAAAAGTATGCCCTTTAGGAGTTCTGACTTCACTGGCTACATGCTTCCTTCCATGTACAGCACTAGCAGTCTACTGGGTATTTTCCTTGAATCTTTTGGTATCCTAAAATCTCAGTTTATTAACCAATAAAAGATAATAAGGGTCCATGCACACTGAGCATAAAAATGCTGTTTTATACAGGTGTTTGTGTGTGGTTATTTATTTTTTTTTGTTTTTTAAAGCCTGTAGACGCAGCTCTGTTAGCCTATGTGTCCATGCACATTTGGGAGTTTACAGGCATATTTTCATAGGAGCATCTAGAAGCAGAAAAGACAACCCTTGAGAGAGGTGCTTTTGGGCAGAAAAACCGCTTAGCAGTCATAAACCTGGGTTTAGGAGTGTTCGTCGTTTTCAAGTGTTCATTGAATAATGAGCAGAAGGGAATGTTTTGTAAAAAAAAAAACCTCTTATAAAAGCAAATGGTCATAAACTCTTGTGTATTCTTTCCTATGAACCCAATAAAAACTTTTAGCAAGTTCCTCTGGGGTAAAAAGGTTGAGAGGCTGGATAAAATTGTACCTTATTGTACAAAAATTTGTAAAACGTGTATAGGAGTGATCCATCTCATTGCTGCAGATGATAATGCACAAAAAACTGATGCTTTGTCCATGTGAGACAAAGGAGCACACATGCTTTAATTCCTCACTTTCCTGCAGCACATACTTGTCTTTTCTTGCCTGTCTAATTTCAGCCTTTGGGAGCATAGAAATTTCCCTGAACTTTGGGTATGACAGAGCATGTGGATTCCTACCGTGTGACTGTACAAGTGCTTGATGATTGGCCCAGTGATGTCAAAGCAGGAGGTAGTCCTCAATGCTATGGAAGCTCTCACCAGAGTGCATGCACAAGGCTTTTTCTCCTTGCTCCCCATAGGTAATCGGAGCAGAGGTGACGTAAACCAAAGACAATTATGTGGTTCAGGGGAGGGAGGACAACAAAGCGAGCCTCTAGATTTTGTCCTGCAAGGGCAAAGCACAGGTTTCAATTAAAATATCTCGGGTGTACCTTGGGAGCTAGTCCAGTGTGAGTAAGCTTTGCAGAAAGTCAAAACTTAACACAATATAAGCAGTACTCCATTATATCCCAAAATTCAGTGCATTCATCAGCAACTCAAAAGCAGCAGCCTGTAAAATTTCAGACGCATGCAGCTGAGACTGGTCTGAAGGCTCTCTCTTTTGCCTGTTGACCCAAAATAATCTTATTTCAACAAGAGGGGGTACTTGTAGACACCTGTCCTGAGACCAGTTTAGAAACATGCATGCATTTAATGTGTGGTGTAAAAAAAAAAATACAACAAAATGTCAATCCAGTTACATTTTATAGTTGCATTTATGTAAAGTGCTGTGTGATCTAGTAAAGCATGAATTATTTTCATAGTGCTCTTGGCTCATAGGAAGATATAAAAACTTTTTAGCTTTATCCAAATGGCATACCCACTTGCAGACCAGCAACTTCCCGCTATGTCGCTGAACTTTGAGTGGTTATACTGGCAGCTGCAGGAATTATCCTGGTATTTTTTTTTTTTTAGCCAGTGTTTACATTCTTGTAAAAGCAATCCTAGTGGCTAATTAGCTGATGGATTGCTTTTACAAGTGGCGGGATGGGACATCTTCTCCCGCTGCCTTCTGTGGCTCTCCCGTCCCACCGGGAGACCCGAGTTTGCAGCTGCGGTTCTGCTGGCTGACCATAAAGCTAATCGGGGACCGGAATGGTCTAAGAAACCGGGTTCGGCAAGCATTTCGTCACGTTGGTTTCACCGGTTGTAAACAAACCCTTTTATTGGTTTGAAAAAAATGATCTGACACTTTTGAGGGCAGAAGAGAGATCTGGGGTTTAATAGACCCCAGATTTCTCAGTAAAGAGGACCTGTCACTGCCTATTGCTATCATAGGGATATTTACATTCCCTGTCATAGCAATAAAAATAAATTCATTTTTTTTTTTAAGGAAGAGTGTAAAAAAAATATATTGTTAAAGTGCCCCCGTGTGGTTACGCGCAAAGGCAAACTCGTATCGTTCCCCCCTCACATAAGTAAAAACCGTGATCGCATCACACGTGAATTATCACTGTGAATGTTAGATCGATAATAATTCTAGCACCAGGCCAATTATGTAAATCTGAAGTGGTAACCTGTAAAGGCTTTTAATGCGTCATCTATAAATAATAAAATGTGCGTAGTTTGTCGCTATTGTGTGGACGTGTGCAATTTTAAAGTTTGACATGTTTGGTATCTATTTACTCGGCGTAACATCATCTTTTATATTTTACCAAACAATTGGGCATTATATTATCCTTTTGTGCATTAAAATTAAAGTGTATTTAAAGAAAAAAAAGTTTGAAAAACTGTTGCACAAACACCATGTGACATTGCAAATAACTGCAGCACCCACCGTTTTATTCACTAGGGCCTCTGCTTTAAAAAAAGAAATGTTTTGGGGTTCTAAGTAATTTTCTACCAAAAAAATACTGGTTTTCACATGTATGCAAAGTGTCAGAAAAGGCCTGGTCTTAGAGTGGATACTGGTTATGCTAGTGACCAAGGTATTATGCAGAAATTGGTCAACTTCAGAACACGTGTAGGTTATCACTGCTATGTATACGGTTCAGTCTAACATTCTAGGAAGCATAGAAGGGGCTTTAATATCATTTCACAATAGGTAATAGGTTTAGTAGTAAAAATTTTATTAATACAAATGTCTTTAACACTCAACTCCAGGGACAATAAATATTCCAGGGTTCATTCAGGTGTACATTCTGTTAACTCAGACTCCACTCCCTATCATGCAGGGTTTTTTTTTGTATGGTTTTTCATGCCAAGGGAAATTGTAGCATATTTCTGCTCCACTTTCAGGTCTCCATAGCCTGGGGCTGTGTGTGTTTTATGAATGGCCTACAGGAGAGGGGGGTGGAGACACTGGGGTCTGTGAGTCCTTGCAGCAGTTGCATCTGAGTGGGCTACCGCTGTACTTCCCTGGCATGTAAAGGATTTGTTTAATGTAGAAGAACGTTTAGTTTGAGCCAATGGAATATATAACTGATTGAACTTTGATAAGTTTATTGTGCTTGGAATTGGGCTTTAAACAGGAGTATTATAATGTTTGTTACATCATGGGCACTAAAGAAGTTCTCCTTATCTAACCATTTAGCAAGGTATAGTGTGTATACTTATTCCATCTTAAATAAATATTTTGTTTTATAATCTGGTTTTCAGCAGTTAAAATATAAAACCTAAAGCAAAAATACCCCCCAAAAACAGAATATTTAGTTAAGGTTTCAGTCTACAAAGTACAAAGGAGCATGAACTCGAATCAGTACATAATCAGGTCAGGCCAGTTGTGCCAGTAAATAATAAACAGTGCATTATTAAGCATTTTGATTAACCTCCCTAGCAGTATGATTATGTCCATATTTCTGTGCTGAAAGCAGTACATTTTTTGCATGGAAATATGTCTTTTTTTTTTTTTATTGTAGGCTTGTAATTTTTAGGAATAATTCACTGAAATCTGTCCGAACAAGAGTCTAGTAAACATTCCGGGTAGGATAAAAGTTGAAACACAAAATCATAAATTATAATTTAATAAATAATCATAAAAAATAATATAATAATAAATTCAATAATATAATCAAACCAAAAACACTGAAATTTGAAATATAGCGCCAAGTTCGCACATCACTGAGCAAAGGCGCAAAATCGTTTTTAGTGTCTGATGACGAATTTCCCCACAAATCATCACTCAATTCTGCAAGTGGTTCTGATTTACTATCGCTGATCTCTAGCTGGTCTAAAACCGCTTTTGACCTAAAGGGGCGCTTTTTGTACGACAGGGACTGTTCTAAGTTTCCAGGCAGAAAGAACA